GGGCTCGTCCCCGGTTATAGCGAACTCCAAATGAGCGTGGTTCGAACATCCTGCTGAAATCTAGGTCGCAAGGCGGAGCTTACGCGAGCCAAGGGATAGCTTGCGCGAGCAACCAAGCCCTTTGCGCTTGGACAACACACTTACGCGGCCTTACGCCGTGACATGTTTGCCTTGCCTGGGTGCTTCTGACCACCCCCCTTCAATCGGCATGCAAAATGGGTTCTGAACCGTGCTCAAATGGACCACAGTCTACTGGCAATTTTGACCAAGCTTCAGCCTGTGTTTCTGCCAAGAAGCTGCGCCCTCCTGCCAAAGCGCCAGCAAGATCCGCGCCACGTTCCGAGTATCTGCAATACCTCCCGGCGGCTCTCGAGAGAGCCAAGGCGAAATGGTTGGGAGATCAGTGCTCCCGTTCGACCCGATCAGGATAGAACGTTGTTGTCTCTTGGTCAAAGTGGATATCTCCAGAAGGCAAATCGAGCAGCCTGGGTGTGTGTTTAGAGGAATTCTCTTTAAATGAAACAACAGAGGCTTCTCCTCAAAAGGACAAACCCAAAGGAGGGAAACAAGATACTGTGTTCCAGAGCTGCCACACGGTAAGTTGTTCACTCCCTCCCGAAATCGAGAAAACATTGAGACATCCACATTGAATCTGATGGGGTGGCAAACCATTTTCCTGCATCGACTCTCTGGTAGGTACCTTTTTCGTGGACAGAGGGATAAGCTCCTGGAAATTCGTATGGCGTGTTTTGGACGGAACCCGTATTTGGATCGATTTTCCCGTGTGGTCATATTTTTCTGGCCGGAGGCTGTATTTGGCCGTGTGCAGCCCGTATTTGTTCAACAAAAACAATGTTGACAAAAAACCGTAAATGACTGTATGGCCACTTGTTGTGGCCCAAGCCCTGTGGACTGAATAAGACATCACAAAAAGGTTTCCAGGCTGTTTACAAACCTCCCGTTTGGCAGTTTACAACCTGAAATCTATTCACCCCTTTTGGATTCCATCTACTTTCTGACACACTTTCTTCACCTGTTGGGATCTCGATCCATGGGCCATTTTGCTTCTCTGATTCGGCTCTGCCTCCTTCGCTGA